TTATCCGAGTTAAATAAAAAAATACAGAAATAAATAATATTGACATAAAATAAAAAAAACTTAAGTGGATATGGAGTAGTCGTCTATAGAGGTTTAAAAACAAGTTCCTTCCTTTTGTTTCTTCACCTATGAGATTGCCTGCGAGTAAGTTTAATGATATGATTACTCACATTAATAACCATTTGACACTTTGGTCGGCACTTGCTTCAATCGACTTTAAACTCTTTTATCATCCATCTTGAAACATCATGATAAAGTTATTTTAGTAAAGGTTTTGAACATGTCCGACTTCACTAGTGTATTTAAATGAGAGATGGTCCTAAAGTCCAATTCTAGGCATTACATGAGAGACTAGGCTCTATTTAGGTCTCAAAATGGATGCCTCCGAGCCTAGTGACTCCTTAGTAGATGCACTAGGACTATCTCTAGCCAGATTAGCAATAATGAAAAATCATCAATTACCCATTACCGATGACGACTAGCGAGAAGGCTTAAGGTTTTATAAGTGTTGACCCATGGCGAAACATTAAGGCACCATTATTAGCTCCCTAGATCCCGAAGCAAATGCAAATGAAAATGAAAATTATGCATTGTAGTGTATGGGGTATAATTCCATATCCAATCTAAAAAATACTACATAAAATCCTAAAAATATGACAACTAAAATTATCGAAAAAAAAAACAACACAAGCGAGCACATATTTATATAGATATGTTTTGATAACATAAAAACAAATAAACAATTAAATTAGAATCACTCACTTCAAATAAGTAGGCATAGAGGCATAACAAAACCGAGAGATTTATGACCATAAGCATTCAAAGCTTAACCCTAGCATGGTAATTCCCCGAGTAGAGTTGCCATTTCTATCGACATGGGCTACCGCGAGGGGTGTGAACAAGGAGTCACCACTTATCCAATCAAGGAGAACTAGGAAACCCTAAGCATATTGGTTTACATGGATAGTTGGGCAAGGGATCGGTTATGTAGGGGAATGATATGACATCATTGCCATTTCATCCTACCTAAGGTAGGTCGCACTTGTTTGCTTATGGAAACAAAAATCTAGTTTTCATTGTGCCATGCCACTTTGCCTATTTAAATGAGTTTATTTCATAAAAATATAAAACAAAGTAGTTCAAATGTAACATAGGGCGGTTTGGGAGTTCGAGTCGATATAAACCCAATACTCCCTACCTAAAGAAGAAAGGTGGGAGAGGTTTGAATTTTTGCTTGTCATTAGTGAACACGACCTATTATTGAAAAATAGGTAAGTTTCTAAAGATAGATAGTCGTTTATTGGCATGCGTAGTGAGTTACTAGTGACTTCACTCACACAAGTGGGAAGCCACTAACGACATTAAGTCATCGGTGTAAGAAGTTATTGACAACTTTGTTGCGGAAGTAGAAAGTTATTGACGACTTCATGTCACTCAAGCGAGGAGCAAATGAGTGTTTTAGAAGTCTGTTGGCGGCTTCATCACATAAGTGAGAAGTCACTAGTAGCTCTTTTTCCAAAAAGCCAATATTAAATAAAAATTATTTCAAAACCCTTTAATGGCTTCATCACATAAGTGGGAAGCTACCGACAACTTCATTTTGATAAAATAAGTAATAAAAATAGATAATAAGAAATAGGAATAAAAAATAAGAATAAAGAAAAATAGAAAAAATAAAGTATCAATCGGGTAAAAAATTTGATAAAATGATTTTGAACCATCCGATGCCTTTGTCACATAAGTGAAAAGCTATCGATAGCTCATTTTGATGTAATAAGTAATAAAAAGATAGAAAATGAAAAATCAAAGTGAAACAAAATAGGGAAACAAGAAAATATAAAACGAGAAATAGATACAAAAAGCATACCAAATGATTCTAAACACCATCAACGACTTTAATTCCCCATTGCAACCAAAAATAATTAATCAATCAACCACAACAACAAGAACAAACGTCTCATTTAGACATGCGGGTGTAAAGCAACAAAAAAGCATAGTTTTTCCAAAATGTTAATTATAGGAATATTTGCTTCAACCACCTTTAATCTTTGAATGCTTAAACTAGATGTCATATTTTATTCACATTTCAAGCAATGAAATAATTTTTAACTTTTATTATATTTTAAAAGTGCTATGGTTTTAGAAGTTTTTACCCAAAAATCCTATAATTCCTATGCCTAATTTGGAGTCGGTCTTACCTTCTTTGTTTTCAATGATAATCGAATATTCGATTAGATGGGAAAGGAGAGTGACTACTTGTTGGTAACATGTGGTGCGAATCCTACTAAAGTGAAAAAAACCTCCTTTGAAATTTATGAACATGGTGAAGGATCATACATCGTATGGAGGTGCGAAATAGATAAAAAAATTTCCTTCATCTAAGGAACTAAGATCATGTCGTTAAATCTACTAATCATACATACATGACTAATAAGCTAAAAGTAAAGGATTACCTCTTGTAGCATAGATCTAAAATTCTTTTCTTTAATTATTTGTCCAAGTGTCCAACTCTATTAATGATCCATGCAGCCACTAGTATCCATAAAGAAGCACTCAAATTAATGGGGTGCTACCTCCACCTTTTCCGATTAAGTATTTCCTTTAGAAATCAATCCCAAGTGACTTTACGATAACCTTAAAGGAGAAGGAAAGAGTATTTCTAGCTGGATATTAGGAGAAAACTATTTTCTTTTTTATTTTCTCTCTTGTCTCGTGTGCCCTAGATGATTTTGAGGGCTAGCCGAAATCTTCCCCTTTTTTTTTTGTTGGTCGAATATTTTCTCACAATTTTACTTGGCCAAAATACTCCTTTATAGGTCCTTTTTCTTTCTTTGTGTTGCACTTGTCCTCCTATATATAGGGGGAGAGTTCCCTTGTCTTCCAAGGATAAGGAGAGAGGTGGCTATGAGTCCATAAAGCACTTTAGGTTGTTTCTTTTTTATCCTCGAAGGATAAGGAGTTATTTTATGTGTGGACTACCCGATTATTATCTTTTAAAACATTCAATCGTGTCCAATGAGATTAATATTTATCTTTAAAACATTCAACCTTATCTAATAAAGTTGATGTTTATCCTCCCACAAAAATTATCTTAAGGTTTTTAATTAAACCTAATGGGCCAAAACTTATTTCGGCCTAATTAGCTTATTTGGATTATCCAAATAAATATTCTTAGATTATTTTGACGGGGTCTACATCGAGAAACAACTTCTCAAAAGACCCTTTAAGCTAAATTAGGAAACTCCTTTCCTTTTAGGTTCTTTAGTTCCAAATTTGAAACTAATTTCCAAAATTAGGAAACTGATTTCTAAAATAGAAAACTTTCCATTTTAGAAAAGTTTCCATTTTGGAAACTCTTTCTAAAATTGAAAACTTTCATAATTGGAAAATTTTTCCAATTTTTTTGCTTCTCATTTATAATGTGAATACTTAAAATTATGCATGTCAGTCAATAGGCTCCTAGATATATTGAGAATGTATCAAGAATGAAAGACACCTCTTTTATATCTAGATACATAAATCAAGATTGGCCTCTAGTAATGCATCATGACTACCCAATTCTCTAAGAGGATTAGTTAATCCATTATTACCTTTCACAAGCATTACCATACAATTTAGTCCTCATTTCAATTTATCGTAGTGTGATCTTGAACTTGGTTATTTGTTTTGCTTGATTATGATCATACGAGTTTTTTTCGATTCTAAAATATCTTAGCTCTCGAGTAAACTAACTATACTCTATTGGTGTACTCCTACTATGACCACAGATTTCTTGAGTATACATTTGTGAAAGTGTAACATGATAACTCCTTTAGCATACAAGGAATGACATGTCCAATCATACACCTATCTCCATTGGATTCCTAATGGTCCTAACGAATCGCCCACATGCAACCCATTAATGGGTCCATTCAAAGGAGTGTCAAAGTGTATAAGTCCACTAATGAGATAATCGTGATGACTTGAAGTGTAAAGGCCATTTGTACCCATCTCGTATGAGATTCCTATAGGCTAAAATCAAATGGCTTCTCATGGTGAGTTAAGTCCAGGTGATGTTCTCCAACATCAATCACCTAAGTGCTTGCTTTGGCATCATCATGTCAATAGATGTGAGATCTCCTGCTACTACCATATAGCATGAACATTGTAGTCATAAGTCTATCTATATTTTTCAATGTCCATTTTGGATAATGCTATGACTTGGGACAAGTAATGATATCATTTATGTGCATTAGTGTTTGTCTCACATCTTTCGATCAATTATTATTGCAAATGCATATCATAAGGACTTATATCTAATTCTATTGAATTTATCAACATGTAAACATAAGAATTAATAAAATGACTTCTTTATTATTACAGAAATGAATGATACAATTATACATTAACTTTGGCTCATCCAAATATGGTTGGATCTTGGGCACCGACACCGACACATGGTTGAGGACACAACTACTATAAAAGTTGCTACCAAGTTTCCGAAACTCAAGGAGGCCTTTATTGCTATTTTTCTACCAAAACACATAATAAATTCCATAATAAATTACTTTCTTTGAGTTTTTTTTTTTAAAATAGGGGGTTGACTCGCTACTAGGTCAAAAGGAGAGGACAAGGGGCTGATTGGTTGTGAGAGGTTGCGGGAAGCACTAACGTGCAAGGGCTATGGTATCCGGTCTAGCCTCGGCAGCAGGATAGCCTTGAAGGTGTGTCGGTGTATGGGGGCTGGAGTGGAGCTCTATGTTGCATGGGAATGACCTTGGCATAGGGGCTAGTGTGGGCACGATGATGCCTAGCATGGGAGGTTGGCAAGCGTGTTTCATGGTTAGAGATGCTAGCTATTATTACACGTTTTAATGTGATAAATGCTGGTCATTATGGAAGGTTTCGATGCTTAGAGTTAGGGGCGGATAGACATGTTTTAAGGCTTGAGATGTTGATTTCAAGGCTAAAGTTGGGGAACTAGTAGATTTGCTTCGGGGTTAGAGATGTTGGTTGTTACAATGGGTTTCGGGGCTATTATGCTTAGGGAGTGTATGGGTAGGGGTGCTTGGCATATGGGAGAGGGTTTGTGTGTTAAGGTTGTTAGGCATGTGAGACTGAAAGACTCGGGTATGTAAGGAGAGGCTGGAGTGGCCTTTCTTGGTATGTGGAAGGTTGAAGATGTCCGGTAGGCGTAGTGGTGCATGAATGTTTTCTTTGGAGAAATGAAAAGTAGCTTTGGTTGAGGATGGTTATGGGGAGGAAGATGAGTGCTTGTACGGTGGTTATGGTTGTTTTTGTCAAAAAAAGAAAGGGAGAAAAGGAGTAGCCAAGATGGAAATTGTTTGGTGAGGGAGAGAGGGGATGGTTATTGTGAAGGTGATGGTGAATAATGGATTCTACCAAAAAATTCATGCCATCGCTTTTATATGTAGGGTTTTATTAGGAAAAATTCAATTTAGTCCTTGTCTCTTTTCCATTCATCAATTTGAGTTTAATCTTAATTTTTTTTTGCTCGATGGGCCCCCTAAATCTCAATTAATTGTGACTTTTCTTTTGATTGCTTCCAATTGTGCCCCCTATTTGTTTTAATTAAGGGACAAAAGTTTTTGATTTTTTTATTAGGCCATTAATTGTTCTTTTTATTACATCCAAACTTTCTATTTTTTCTAATTAGCTCATCCCATTTGTTTTAGAATTAATCCTAAGCTAATTATTTCAATTGATTTTCTTTTCTTTTTCTTCTCACATGGCATTTTGTTTTGTTTACCATTTTTCACTTTTTTGTTACTCATTTTTCATTTTTCTTTTTTTTTTTTTGTATTTTGCAATAAAAATAAAAATAGAAGTACAACTAATAAGTGTCAAAATTTGGGTGATAACAAGTTTTTCAAATAAAATTTACCATTTTCATAATATTTCATACCACTAAACCTTAAGAACATCATTCAATTTCCAAACTAACTATTTCCCTTGTTTTTTTTTTTTTGCATTTAGGCAAAAAGTTTCCAAATGGAAGACTAACTTCCACTTAGTTATTTTACCTCAAATTTTCACCTCTAACCCTTTCAACATAACATGTTTTCATCATTTAAAAATTAATTAGGTTATGTATATCAATCAACCAAAACTTTTTACTTGGGTCGAAGTTCTCTAAAAAATGACCAAATTTCAATTCCTCTAATTCAACACCATAAACACTACTAAGACGTTACATCAAACTCCTTGTAAATATTAGGTATTGAAGCTAATAATGTATTAAATTTTTGGGGCATCCAACTACCAAGTTCTAAGAATAAGGATAACACCAAAACACACAAATTCATTCAAATTATTCACCTAAATAGATAAACCTTAATCACTAACACAATTATAACATCTAGCACACTTAATTCCAACATTGGAACCATAATTCTTATGATTAAAATATTAATACTTAAACAATAAAGCATGATATTAACATCAAATACATATCAAAATCATTAGTTTTTTTATGGTGAGTGAGGATTACACTTATGCCACTTGAAGTTTGGCCAATTCTCCTCTTTTCCACCTCAACCAAAATGATGTTATTCCTCCTTCTTTGATTGATCTTATAAAATAACTTTGAGTTTGTTTTAGAGTGTTTCTATATTAAATAAGGTGGTTTCGAGTGGTGGTTGGGCGGTTTCCTTACTTGGCTGGTCTAATTCTTCCACTAAGGTTACTTAATCAACTTACGATTTCTAACCATTTACCCATCTTCTTCCACCATATTTATAGCCATGGTTTCTCCTTAAGATTAAGCCAAATGTTTCATATTTTGTTTGATCTTAAGCATGGCAGATTGGTGGTCTGCTAGAGTTTTCTTCTTCGTCCTTATCTTTTCTTCTTTTTCTTCCAAAGATATTTTCTCTTCTTTCTTCCTCTTTGTTTTGACTTTGTTCTTTTCTTTATCTCGTCAAATTTTCTAAAATATTCTTTTTGGAATAAGTTTCCAAAAATAAATTCATAACTCTTATAAAACATTAATACTTTATACTTTAGTCCATAAACTTTTAATCTTTGCAATTGGCCCTTCCAATTTCAGCCTATAACTTTATAAATTTTCCTCATTCTAGCGCTTATACTCGACCTTTTGCTAGGGTAACCTAAGCTTTTAACTACTATGATTATGCCTCATAGGTTTTACAATTGCATGCCAAGGTCAAAACATAACAATTATAAGTAATAGTATCTATCACTAATTCAACCCTTACTCTTTCTATTAACCATCCATTACAATTATACTTGTATTTATTTTATCCTTAATATAAGTATAAGCTTTTAATTTCTTCCCCTATTTAAATATGTTATACAATGTAAGGGTTGAATTAATAAAACATCCATACAACATATTTATATTTAAGAAGGATTTTAGGTTAGAGATATTACAACAAAACGCCTATACATATCTCTCTCTTGTCACTAATACTCGAACTCTAAGACTCATTAGAAGATGTTTTAAAAATTCCTCGATAAAGTGTACATACCATAAAATTTTACTTCGACTTAATGGAGCATTTATTAGGTAGAGTACAAGACATAAATTACTTATACATTACCGAAGATGAATTAGAACCTAAGGGAACATATCACAATAAAGCCTTATATGTCGGCATCAAGTGCAATGTCCTTATAATAGTGAACGTGTTGATTCATCATAGGTCTACTCTTAATGTGCTACCAAAGTATGTCTTAGAACATCCGCAGAGTTATCCCTATCAAATGAGGCCAAGCAAAATGATGAAATAAGTTTATGATTGTACCTCTTGTTAGGTTATCGAGGACATAAAGATTGATCTAGGCATTGGGCTACTTCAATTCAAAACTACTATATAATTAATCGATATCCATCCTTCCTATAGTATGTTATACCATGGATTAATTCTATAAAGCTGTCACATTCTCACTACACTTGAGGTTAAAGTATATAATTGATAAAAAGTTAATCACTATGAGATTGGATGAGGCTACATTTGAAGGATCATGCATCATATAGAAGTGTAGATTTAAACAAAATTTTTCCTCCATCTAAAGCTTTTCGGGATTAAGCCATTGAATCAACTAACCATATATACATAAATTAAAACATAAATAAAGCATTACCTCTTGTAGTACATATTTTAACCTTAGTAGAAAAGGAGTCATCCAAGCACCTAACCTCAATTAATAATCCACGCAATTCAAACATCAATACAAGAAGCACTCAAATTATTAGAGTGCTAGTTCCACATTTTTTGACTTGTCTTATTTTCCTTTCTAAATTTATTCAAGGTTATTTATGCAACAACCCTAAGAGAACGAAGAGAGGTGGCTTAATTTTTAGGGAGAGAAAACTATTTTCTCTCTATGTTATTTGTTGTTGTGTAACCCTAGTTATTTTTGCTCTTTGTCATGTGTGATCTCACTTCTATCTCTTTACTTTGCTACCTTCTCTAATTTTATTTATACAGGGGAGTGTCCTCCTTATCCTCCAAAGATAAGGGGTGGTAATGAGTCTCTAAAGGACTCTTGGTTCTTGCTTTCTAATCCTCGAAGGATTAGGAATTATTATGTATATGGGCTTTTTGATCTTATCCTTTTAAACATCCATCCTTTTCCAATAAGGTTCATGTTTATCCTCCCAAAAAATATCTTATAGGTTTTTTAATTAAACCTACCGGCCTAAACTCCTTTGGCTCGGTTAAATACTAATTTATTTGTACTATCCAAATAAATTAGGTCGGATATTTTTAGCGACCCATATTAGGAATCGAGTTTCTTAAATTATCTTTAAACCAAAATTAGGAAACTAGTTTGCTTTTTTGGTATTTTACTCCTAAATTTGGAACTAACTTCCAAATTGGGAAACCGATTTCTAAAATAAGAAAATTTTCACTTTAGGAAACTTCCATTTTAGGAAAAACTTTCAAAATTAGAAACTTTTTTCAACATCTTTGCTTCTCTTTTATTTTTTCAATTCTTTGATTTATGCATATGACTCAATAGGCTCCTAGATATTTTGGAAACGTGTCAAGAATAAAAGATAGCTCTTTTATCTCTAGATACATAAATCCAGATTGGCCACTAGTAAGGCATCATGACTCGCTTAATTTGCTAAGAGGATTAATTAATCTATAATTTGCTTTCATGAGCATGGTTATCATACAATTCGAGTTTTCATGTCAATTTAACACGAGTGTGATCTCAAATTTGATTATTAGTTTTTTCAATTATTATCATAAAATTTTTCTTTGATTCGTAAAAGTCTTAGCTCTTAGAGTAAACTAACTACGCTCTATTGGTATACTCCTACTATGGCAACGATTTCTTAGCGGAAATTTATCGAAGTGCATTGTAATAACTCATTTAGTATTCAAGGAATAACCTGTCCTATCTTTGCATCCATCGATCTCCATTAGATTCCTAGTGCACCTAATGAATCACCCACGTGCAACCCTTTACTAGGTCTATCAAAACAAGTGTTAAACTACATAAATCCTCTAATAAGATAACCATGATGGGATCATCATGCTAGCGAGTGTGAGATCATCAATTGTTATCATATAGCATGAGCATAACACTTATAATTCTAATAGTCAATGTATATTCTTGAAAATGCTATGACTTGAGATATTTAACAATATCATTTATGTGCGTTAATGTTTGTCTCATATCCGTCAATCAATCACAAATGCAAATGCATATTATACAAACTTCTATCTCATTATATTCAATAAATAAATGTAAATGATAAGAATTAATAGAAACACTTCTTTTATTGTTAATAAAATAAATAATATAATGATATAGTACTCAAACCAATCCAAATATGGTTGGATCTTAAGTACCAAGACTAATAATAGCCATGGCTAAAAAATGTGCCAATTCCATAAATTATGATAGAAAGAGTTAGTGATACGAACCTACATGGTTTCAAAGTAGTTAATGCCAAGTTAATCCTTAGGAATTTATGAGTAAAGAGATTAATTTATGAGTAAAGAGATTACTAACTAATGATTTGGGTTGCAATACAAGCCATTTAGGAAGGACTATCATATGATAGATGAATTAAAAAGAGAAAAGAGATTAGTCCATACCGAAGGGCGAGATCAAGACTCTAAAGACATTCACATCCCACACTTTTGTACTACATTCTCATGATCTTTACATATTTTGTGTATGGGTGATGAGGATCTGAACTTGGGCTACATCTTTGATGACATGACGAGTGAATACCATGAGGGCGAGTAGTGACTAATAGTAGAGACAAGTGTGCATCATCGATATCTTTATCAACCAACTTTAATGTTGTGACTTTCTCATAACTCAACATTAATATGTAGCTTTTA